TCTACAACTACCTGAAGGGAGGGTGTGGTCAGGTGGGGCTCAGGCTCTTCTCCTGGGCAACCAGTGACAGGACAAGAGGGCACGGCCTGAAACTGCGTCAGAGAAGGTTTAGGTTGGATCTCAGGAAGAATTTCCTCACAGAGAGGGTGATCAGACATTGGAATGCACTGCCCAGGGAAGTGGTGGAATCACCATCCCTGGAGGTGTTTAAGGAGGGGCTGGATGTGGCACTTAGTGCCTTGGTCTAGCCATTGCGATGCTGCTGAGTCATAGGCTGGACTTGATGATCTCAGAGGTCTTTTCCAGCCTCAACAGTTCTGTGATTTTGTGAAAGGAAATCGATGGGTGTATGCAGTATATTCATTGAAGTGTTTCTAAAAGTTTCTGAGATTCTAGGCAATATGGAGATCAAAATGCTTATAATCAGCTTGGAAAAATGTAAGCAACCTAAACTTGATGATTGTAGCTTCCTTTAAATTTAAATGTTACTCTGCAGATTTGAAGTAGTATCAAAAATAAACTTTTTTCTTGAGAGAGTACTATAGGTCTTTATGGTTTTTAACAGTGCAGTAAGGCTGCTGGGTATTTTTGAGATTCTGAACACTCATGGCTAGCAGTTTCAGTGGAAGTGGGTAGTGCTGGAGTTATCGTCATCTTTTTAAAATTCCTGGTTGTTAATTCTCAGAAGAAAGTATCCCATATGACCCATTCCAGATGGTTCAGTTCCCTTACTGCTTGTTTTAATTGCAGATGCTCATGTCCCTTGCCACTTGAACTTTTCATTTTCAACTGAGAAATGATACTGCTCTGTTCTTTCTGCTTTTGCCTGTCTTGTAGGATCTCTGGATCGTCACCCTCTCAGAAACCATTGTTCCTTATAACAGTTTAATGTAAAAAAATGCAAAGAAATACTCAGCAGAAACAGCAATAAATACAAAGAAGAGGTTTTTTTTAGTAAAGATTTTCCATAAAAGACATTGACTGCTGAGATACTGTGTGGCAAATCGAGTCTTCCGTAGCCACGCTGGACCCAGACTTTTTACTGTGTAGGAGGAAAGGATCTGGCAAAAGGTGGAGACGACTAAACCAGAGGAGGCAAACTTAGTCTGAAATGTCCTCAGGAGCACGTTTTGCTCTGATCCTGAAGTAATTCTGTTGAGAGTGTATGATTCATAACCTACTCTTTCCTTATGATGCTTATTTTCTTTTCTGCTGATAGCTAGTGGTCATAATTAACATTTCCTAAACTGTCTTTATGTTCATATTACTATATTTCTTAAAGACCTAATGTAATTCCTATAGAAACTAACTTGTTTTGCATATAATGACAAGCAGGCGTAAGTGTTCATGTTCCACCATAGATAAGCTGACCAAAATCATGGGGTTTGTATCTGTTCTTCAACAGGTATTTGCAGTTTCTGGTTTTCAAATGGCAGTTCCAAGTTTTTAATATGAATCCTGTGTCAATATTTATTTTTATTTGATTTTTTTTTTGTAAGTAAAATATTGCATCTGCTTTTGGCAGGACCCAACTAGGATTCTCAACACAAATAGCAGCAGCGGTAGTAATAGTTTTTCAAAGACCCACAAGTTAACAAAGGAGCACAAGGAAAAAAATTCTAAAGACTCAAAAGAACAAAAAAGTGCCTTCAAAGAACCTTCCAGGGAACACAAATCTTCCAAAGAATCCTCTAAGAAACCCAAAGAAAACAAACCACTGAAAGATGAAAAAATAGTTCCTAAGATGGCCTTCAAGGAACCTAAACTCATGTCCAAGGAGCCAAAATCTGAAAACAACTCCGTTCTTACCACAACAGGTGGGCAGCAGCAAGAAAAAAAGACCACTACAAAAAGACCCTCTGTTTTGGACTCTGAAGAACTTTCTGCAAAAAAAAGAAAAAAAAGTGGCTCGGATTCTTTATTTAAAAGTTTTTCTAGCACCTCACCACTGGTTCTTACTTGTTCAGCTGACAAAAAACAGATGAAGGATGTATCTCCACTCAGTGTAGGAAGAGTCAATGCACTGGAAAGAAAGACGCCTTCTCTGCCACCATTTGATGATATTGTAGATCCCAATGATTCAGACACGGAAGAAAACATATCCTGTAAATCTGAAGTAAGTGGCCTTTGTTTTTGCTTTTTATGTGTTGAGTTTTCCCAATCTGCGGGACTGTACACAGTATTTGTATTTTTCCCTTACTTTCTCCTGTCTACTAGAAGGTTGTTTAAACTGAAGAATATTGACTGCTGGCTATTCAAACTTATGCATGTTGTAATTGAAACGTATTACCTATTCAAGTCTACTCAATTTATAAATCTGTCAACATTATGATGAACAAACGTCTTGTTTTCATCTTGTTCTTTTGAATTTCATGCTACTTGTGAGAGAAAAGGAAATTGATTTAAATGCTTGTATTTCACACTCTAAGTCTTTGCGTTCAGGAAGATGTAGGAGAATTCAGTAAATTTAGAAAGGGTTGCAGTAAATCATAGCCGGTTAGCTCAGTCAGTTGAGCGTAGCGCTAACACTAAGGTCGCGGGTTCGATTCCTGTTCGGTCCCCAATTGTTGCCTGTTCTAGTCGAGAGGTGATGTCCCTGGCGGCAGGGAGGCTGGATTAAAATGATCTCTAAGGTCCCTTCCAGCTTAGGCCATTCTGTGATTCTATGATAGCATTATTTGTTATTTTTCTGGTAAAAAAGGAAGTCCTGTGAATGATGCCAGTTTTGTGGCGGAGGAGTAGTTCCTAGAATCCTCGCCCAGAGGAGAATCTGTCCAAAATAGCAGGCTTACCCATAAAGAAAGACTGTTTTTATGCAAGTTTGCTATCAGGAAAATATTTGTCTACCATGCCTGCCTGAAAATACTTGTCTCTTGTGCCTGCTCATCTGTTTCAAGCAACATTTGCTCTTGATGATTAGGATTTTAATAACTCTCCCAGCAGATTTTGGTTTTCGGAAGCATCTCTTATAGAAGGATGAGTAGAGCAGGAAAGGAGTGAGAAGAGAAGGCTTGTTTGGTGCCTTTATTTGTGCTTATGGCTAGAGGTATTGTGCATAGTAGACATGAATTCTTCCCAGGCCATACCTGTTCAATTCTTTCATTTTTCTGTTTTCTGCTGTGTGCCTCTGTTACTGCCATCAGATCCATAGCCTTGTTTGCCCTCTCCAGAACAGGCAATAAATACCCAGCTGTGGGGAAGTGTCAACATTAGGTTTTTACTTCATAGAAACTTCCCACAAGGGAAAAAGTAATTTATTTCTGAAGTGACCTTTTAATGACTGGTCCCTTAGGGCTTGCAAAGACTGTAAAATTCAGAAAGTATGGAAAAGGACAGGCCTTGCTTTCAAGCATGGCATTGATGATGTGGTTAGGGTAGCATTCTTGTTCTGGCTTAGAACTTAAGAATTTGTCTTTAAACCTGAAAATGTCCACATTGTCAGCCTTGATGTGAATTATTTTTAATGTCTTCAAAAGAAGCTGAATGTTATCACAGAATAACAGAACTGTTGAGTCTGGAAAAGACCTCTGAGATCTTCAAGTCCAGCCTATGACTCAACAGCATCGCAACGGCTAGACCAAGGCACTAAATGCCACATCCAGCCTTTTCTTAAGCACTTCCAGGGACAGTGACTCCACCACTTCCCTGGGTAGTGCATTCCAAAGTCTGATCACCCTGTCCCTGAGGAAATGCTTCCTGAGATCCAACCTAAACCTTCCCTGATGCAGTTTCAGGCCATGCCCCCTCGTCCTGTCACTAGTTGCCCGGGAGAAGAGCCCAACCTTCACATTTATAGAGAGTGATGAAGTCTCCTCTTCTCCAGGCTAAACACCCCCAGCTCCCTCAGCTTGTCCTCACAGGACTGTATTTTATGACTTAAATGACTTAAGTCTTAAGACTTAAGACTCACTACCTACCTTCAGTAGCGCTGGGTAATTCTCACTACCTACCCTCAACAGAGCTGGCTAATTAGCATAGACTTTGCTTTCATCTTTCCTGTTCGTTGAAAGAGATGCCATGTAGTGTCACATACACATATTACTGGCAACAGCGGTTCTCCGTTTTTCTCCAAAGACAAAAGAATTTTGCAAAAGCAGGCACTACAGAGGTGCTTGCTGTGTAGCAGCTTGCAGGTAACTGTTATGTGAAGAATATGGATGGTGCTTAATAGAAATGTTTTTAATTGTTATCCTGTGTTTCCCTCTGCTGTCTTGCAGCCTCTCACCCATTAACAGTGATATAAAGGATACACCCTTGTGTTTTTTGTAGGATGACACAAATCCACTGGTAGTCATCCATCTGCAGTTGACCTGCGGGACCAGTGGAGTTCCTTAATTCCATACTAAAGCAAAAAAAGCAGATTCAGGGCTTTTCAGTTCTGCAAGCCACTGTTACTAAGAGGGTGAACTACTGGAGTCTGCTCAAAGTGAAGCAGATCTTGCAGGTCTGGGCTTTGGCATATTTTAATGTTAGTGTCCTGGATCCGTAGAATAGATAGATCTTGAGTAAGAGGGCCAGTGTGGTACATCTGTATGGGTGAAAAAGATGTCTGCCACTTTAGGACTGTGCTGCTTTTAACAACTCAGGATAAGTGTGGCTCCAGTCAGTGACTGGATACTATTTAGAAAGTCAATAGTGTACTTATTTTTAGAAAAAAAGTATCTAGAAAACCTAGTATTATTCCCTAAGGTGCCTGTGACTTCGCACATTTGTTAGTGCTGTGGGGGACCAGGCTAGTCAGCCTGGGTAATTAAGTGTCTGCAGAATTTCACAGAGAGCAATTCCTTCTACAATTCATTAGTTTTAACCAGGAAGCATAATGAAAGATGATTGAGTGGTGTAATAGAGGAGGTTCTCTATGTTTTGTAAAAATAGGTCAAACTTCTTATATGTATTGCTGGGCTTCTAAGCATTTCAGGACAAGGAGTACATTTTATAGCTACATCTATAAAGGGTATATCCTGTAAATAGAATCTTATAAAGTAAAAAAAAAAAAAAAGTCAAATGTTGCAATGTTACATAGAGAGTAATGGAAGTGAAAATACGATAATGAGATGGTAGAGTTCAGGATCTTGTGCGGTAGAAACAGACTGTCTAGCAGGATTGCAGCACTAGACTTCAGAAGGGCCAACTTTGACCTTTTCAAGCAATTGCTAGGGGAAACCCCATGGGACAGAGGACTGGAAGGTAAAGGGGCCCAAGAGAGTTGGTCAGTATTCAAGAACCACTTCTTCCAGGCTCAGGATCAGTGCATCCCAACGGGAAGGAAATCAAGAAAGAGATGCAGGAGACCTGCATGGTTAACCAGGGATCTGCTGAGGAGACTCAGGTGGAAGGGGAGGGTATATAAATTGGAAGGGCTGGCCACTTGGGTGGAGTATAGGACTCTTGTCAGAGAATGTAGGGAGGCAATTAGAAAAGCTAAGGCCTCCTTGGAATTAAAACTTGTGAGCAAAGTCAAGGACAGCAGAAAGGGCTTCTTCAA